ATAATACACTGTTCGCTGATAATGTTGACACTACATAAATTATACATGCCTATAGTTAATAGCAAACCATATAATTTTACACAAGAATAATTTTCCATTAATAACCTATACAATTTATTGATTCCAATATTTTCATCGATGATTAGATAATGTGCACAAAGCGATGAGCATGATAAATTATGCAAGGGTACAGCAATCTCATTATTAGATGTAATGGTGCAACACTGTCTTTTGATAATATAGCTAGCTAGCAGTGTGGCTTTGTGTCTATGCTGTAGTATAGGTCATGGTATGTACAAGTATTGTATTCCATAAATAATGAGAAAATCTTTTGTACATATATGGAATGAACAGTATTGTAAATGGTCTATTAGGCAGTTCTCTTAAATATTTTTAGTATCACTCTTGAATAAGCACCACAGTACTTATTAGAAATATGTTAATTGGAACATTGTGGTGCATAACCAACCATATATATTATTAAAGTACAACACTGATGACTAGACAGGGAAAGGTTATTATTCTAATAGTATACATAATGTTAGTCTATCATTCTAGCAATATTTTGTTTCTTGTTTATACCACATTGATGTACTGTAAGAGTGGCATATTATGACTAACAGAGAAATGTATAAAAAGTAATGGTCTGATCACATAGTGATCAAAATACTGGTACCATAAAATAAAATTATGACCTGGATGATGTAAAATTCCATTACCATGAGAACAACCTACTCATATTGTTCACATAAATTAGATGATTTAGCCTCAAATGAGGAAATCAAATTAAATTTTAATTCACTTTATTGTATGTTAAATTAATAGTTCACAGCATTATTACATGTAGTGAAAGGTAAAATAATTTGTATAAATTTAGTATATGAACTGTGCACCATTTAATTTTTTTATATATAAAAATCTTTGTGCTGATGTACAGCAATCTGATCTCCTTGGTTTTAAATTTACTATTCTTGAATTTGTTATTAATTTTTAAATTGACTATACTTCAAGTACTGCAGTTCGTTATTACCACTTCTTCTTTAGGGCTCACTGGCTGATGAATTTTAACATCGGCAACGTCCATGTCATCGTCATACATATCGAGTGATGTATCAATTATGGGCTTGTAATTGCACGGGGGTTGCCGGTATGTTCGCTGTTTTAGGCACATTGCGGTGAAAATGACAGCGGCTAAGAATCCGACTCCAAAAGCTACACTTAAAGCTGTATGGTTAAGATGAAATGAATAATTATGATATAGTAAAATGAAATTAGGGTAAAATGGATCATGCTTTATTAAATAAATGATAGATACTATCAAACATACATATTAGAAATCAAAGAGATAATTGGTTGTATTATGACAATGAAAATAATGAAAAAAAATGACAACAGCATTTGAAATTATTTTCAAAAATTATGCAATATATTAGGATCAAATCAAATCCATTTTTTGTTGTTGGATGGGTAGACAGATTGATATTGAATCAGGGGTTTTATTAAGGTTTAGAGTAGGAGGAGAATGAGTAAGAGTTACAGGAGAGTTTGTGGGGGGGGGAGCCAGGGGCATAGCCCCCAGTGGGGTATAAAAGTAGCCAGCAAAAAAGCCGTAGTAACCGGTTGAATTCGATTGCTGCTAACTACTAATGAAACCCCTGGGAATGAACGTATACAGACTGGAAACAATATAACAATACACTGGATAGGGAAAAAACTAACTCATACTGTATGTACCCTTTAACATCAGTTTTACTGTAATTGGAGCATTATTCAAAACTGTTATATACTGTAATATTATGGGCCACATGAATAAGATTAGGTATATTTTGTTTGCTGAAACCTATGATAGCCATCTTTTCAAGTATCATTTTCAAAAAGTCTGAACAGAAAACATAATTGCTTTTATATACTGTATAGTCCAAAACCTAATAATCTGAGATAATTTCAATGAAAAATAGGGAGATGTACAAACCGATAATTGCTGAGATGGAGAGCGTAGGCCAGTCTTGACCAGACGTTGGCGACACAGGGACTGTTGTAGCGGCATTAGACATACTGTGAGTTGTAGGTATCCCAGTCGGCATTTTCCGTAAGATGTGAAAAATACGGTGAAAGGATCCATTGTTAGGTGATTCCGGAATGTTCAAAATGTAGCAGATGAGTGGATAGATATCAACGTTGTAGAACGGATCCGCCTCAGACTGATTCTTGTTGAAAACAGGGCCATGAGCTACAAAGATGGGATGCATCACCTCGAGCCTATTATCATACCCATGTGCTCCTTTGAAGTCTAAAGTGGTGAAAATAGAAGAAATTAATAATTACTTTAATATTTTAAACATTATAAGATATATCCACTTAATAAAAGAGCTGATTTGTGGCTCACCCAGATAGCAATTTTACATTATAATAATAACACTGCAGTTTGGTGTTACAGAACAAATTGTTTTTGTAAAACCATAAATACATATCTATTGTATTATAACGTGAATGTTATAAATGAACACCTTCAGATCATGACATCTGAGCATACAGTAATTGAATCTGAGAGAGAAATGTTGTTTGTGTAGTGAACAGTGGAGATGTTTGGACATAACTTTGCTGTTTCGATTCCAACCACTTCTTCTTCCTGTGTATGTCAGGAAACACCAAACTTTGGGGTTTTTTTAGTTTTTTTAAATTTTATATATTAGTTTTTCAATTCATTTCTTTTTACAACCACTGCTCGCTTGTATTTCATCCGTCTTTTGGATGAGATGTTTAAGACATTGGTCTTGTCTGTGTGCCACATGGCCCACGTGCATGTTAAAGAACATATTACATTCCTCGAAAAAGAGTAGGGGATGGTTTTCACAAGACACCACTGGAAATAAGCTTTTGTGAGTTATCTTTCATATATTTCACATACTGCAGAATCCATTAAAATTGTGCTATTAAAAAAAAAATTAAAAGTAGGAGAATAAACCATAACTTGCAGCGTCATTGTGCTGAATTGAAATATTATAGTGTACTGCACATACAGTATTTTACAGTAATTCTAAATACTGTACAGCAGCATTCTTGTTATTTTCATCCAACACCAAGTACTGTAACTACGTACTATCATATTCTTTTTACAATCAGTTCACTAACCAAAAAAGCTTTCTCAAAACCAATATGCCAATATATAAAAGTTTTATATTTTTCTAAATGGATTTTTAGCAAATCCATAAAGATGAATTTGTGTTATTTTTGTAATGGAAAGTGAACCATAAAGAGTGATTATATTAAACACTGTAATGGAATTGATAGTCTCTGTATGGTAACATAATTACCATACCTTACTTTCAATCTTTTGAAATGTAAATTAGCAAAATAACATATTTGAAACACAACTGGCTGTGAGCAATTAAAAATGTTTCATCCAGATGTTTTTCTTCTCTACAATACTTACATTTTGTGTCATTCATATGAGGAAATGCAGCTGTAAAATTTTGAAATATGCTCCATCCCTCATTGGCAACCAGCAAGATTGGTGCAATTCGCCTGTTGTCATGGTAATGGAACACCTTCGGGATTTCATCTTTCCAATAAACATCCATATGCTTGCTAGCATTCTTTAATGCATCGTAAAGCTTGCTTGTATCTCCCTCTGTAGTAAAAACATTTAGTTACAAACTATTGATACTGTATAATGTACAGTAAAGCCTTCTTGTAGCTTTGACAGAGCATGGCAATAGTAATGTGTGTTAAATTTATTCATTCTTTTTCATAAACATACTATAGCAAGATTACATTAGGATATTAAATCTGCTAATTATTATTAATAATACAGTACCTGTAATAATAATAATTATAATACAGTAATAAAGAAAAAAAATAAATATTAATAATAAAAATAATAATAATAAAAGAACTGTGATTTATACTGTATATTTATTCCTACCAAACGCCCATCTAGAGTGGTTTTTTTTTTTTTTATAAACCTGATCAGGTATATTTAATATTTATTTTTTTATGTCGGTGAATATTAATTCGTTTTTTTATACAGTATTGTAGGGAGTTTGATGCATCAGAAGAGGAAATGAAAAGTGTCTCCCTGGTCACTTTTTTAATCAAAGAACCAGAATCACAATCGCAGACTAAAACCAAATGTCATTCAATGCCAAAATCTTGTGTAGGTATGCTAACATTAAAATGATATCAATTACTACTGTTATTTTATAGAATTTATAATGTTGGATCAGTACGCCTACTACTGTATAAAAAATCATGAATCATTATCTTTATCACCATCATTATTAATTTATTATTATCATTATCTTTATATTATTATTACTGTATTATTATTATTATTAATAATAATATTACTATTATTATTATCAATATTATTATTATATATTATTAATAAAACATTTACCATCGTTAGGCCATATTCCCAATATCGGGTTGTTGCTATCAAAGTAATATAGACTTGCGTCAACAAAGTTGTCCAGCTCAATTACTCTGTCCACTGACACGTCAGCCATCCCATGATCAGATGTGATAATTATGTTAGTCGTCTCATACAGCCCATTAGCTTTCATCTCATCAATGAGGTAGCCAACATCAACATCAAGATCCTGTAATTTTTTTATCAGTTCAGGCGAGCTTGGCCCATACCTGTGTCCGGTACGATCTGGTTCGTGATAGTATAAAATTCCAAGGTTGACATGATCATTTTCGTTTTTAAAATGTTGAATGATCCAGTTTACGCGTGCACTGAACGGTATTGATTCATTATACTTTGGTAGATAGTATGTCGGATATTGGTCACGGATTTTAATGTCAGATCCTGGCCAATTTATCACGGCGCTCTGTCCTAAATTATTCTGGTTGGTGATCCAGACTGGTTCTCCACTACTCCACCATTTAGGTTCCAAAGAGCTTGGTTCGCCTATGTGAAACGTCTCGTTCCATAATGGATCGTACATATTATTTCCAACTATTCCATGAGTTTCCTCGTACATGCCAGTAACAATTGTGTAGTGGTTTGGAAATGTTTTAGTTATGAATGCATCATAAGTAAACTTAGCACGAACACCATCAGAGATTAGCCGGCGAAAGTTTGGCATATCTGTCTTGTCTAAATAGTCTGCGCGAAATCCATCCAACGACACTAGCAAGACTCGTTTGTCTGTAGTAGCAGCAGCAGAGGTGACCAACCCTGTCAGACAAAACAACCCGATCATCAAAAGTAGGGCTAGGCCTAGGCCTAGCGAATCGACGGGACAATTTCTACTGACCGTCATCATTGTAGATCGGTGTTTAATTTATGAAGAAGTGTCGTGAAGCAATGAGACAACAGCGATAGAATGTAGTGTGGCTAATGACAACAGAAAATGAACTGTTTAACCCAGAAGAGAGATCTACAGCATAAAAAAACAACAGAATTGACTTCTGACAACCGGATAAAAACAAAGGTTCCAATTTGTGTTGAGATTTTTTAACCACCGTAAGAGGGCGCTGAATTAATACAAAATGTCTGCCGATGAAGATACAGAATTGCGGGACTTGGTAGCCCAAACACTTGAAAACAATGGTGTTCTTGGCAAAATAAGGGTATTATATACTTATATTTATTTTATGTTGTAATTGATATGCAAAGTGTTAATATATGACAACAAATATCGATGATTGTGGTAGTGTATTTAATCTACTCCTCCTCTAGCCTAGGCCCTAGCCTAACTAACCATCTCAGTCAGACTCAGACTCTGTACGTACGTAGGCCTAAGCCTAGGCCTACTAGGGCCAAGGTCAGGCACGTAGGCCTATGCCTAAGTAGGCCTCACATCAAACGACCACTCCTTCAGATACTCTTGTCCTACAGGCAGACGTGTCGTACCTACTTTATTGATATAGACCCTAGGTCTAGGGCCTAGTTAACTAGAAACATAAAAATTAGAATTGTCTCACATTATTTTAAATCGGACCAGTATTAGCGGAGATATTACAATATAAGTACATTTTTTGCTGGAGTTAATTCCTTTTATTTTTATTATACAAGAAACGTGTCCCTTACAGTATAATTATGTGTTTAAAAAGAAGCTTTTTAACTCTTGATTATTCATCTAAAATAATACTAATGATTAAAATTTGGTATGTAATTATTTTAGATTTCATAATTATTATCAACTGATAGATTCTATGTAAAATATATTGCATTTATCTCCTAATCTACGCCTAATTATAGGGCTCAGACACCACTGTAGCCAGCAGGAAAAGCATTGTTTACCCCGCGTGTAGCCGCGGTAAAATTCACAAGGGCGCCCTCAACCCGTACGAGCGAAGCCTAGCTCCAGTACAATAGAATACATCATAATTTAGACCATATATTTTAATGGGCGCTACAAATGTATTATTTTTAACTTGCCTACCTTTATATATTAAAACCTGTATAAAACAAACATGTTAACTAAAAAACGAAGGTTTCTTTTTCTTCTTAAAAAAACGATGAAACATTTGTTGTAAACAAAAAACTTATACTCAATCGAATCACACGCTTGAAAAACCCATTGCTAGGTTGGGAATTTATTTCTGAAGAGTTGTCTGGAAGTAATTTGGCCAAATTGTGATATTCTTTCACGAAATACTCAATTAATACATAGAGTATCCTATCTCCGTCGGGGCACTATTTTCTATCACGATGTTTGTTTCGCCGATGAACAGCGCCCCCTATAGGTTTTGTAACTATATAGCTTAGTTTAAGCTAGGCTCTCTGCCTAGGTGTTAGTTTGCAGCCCATCATGAATTTCACGTCCGGCAATCAGCAGTTGCCGACCATATTGCCGAGCCAGAATTGCTACAGGACGGCAATTTTTTGCCGACCTGTTCCTAGGCCTAAATTTCTTTGCTTCAAAAACTGCTTGGAAAGTCAAAACTTTGACTGAAATGAAACACGCTATAGTGTTAGTAGACACTAAATTTCATGTACTTCATCAAACCAAGGAATTTACTAGTTCGTAAAACAGATTTGTTTGTACATTAACTATTTCTAATAGGCATACAGTCAGTACGTAATACGATGTGTGTACAATCGCCTAGCAGGCCTACTGTAGTCATTCCGTAAGCTAGGCCTAGGTAGAAATGACGCTAGGCAGCCAAGACCTAAAACATCGCCCAATTGAAGCCACGTACTGTAGATCATAATGCTTATCGAAATCTATTATTTGTCTTCATTTTACAGTTATTATCATATTTAAAATGTTGTTTATTATCTAAAAACCAAATTCAACATACAGTATTGTAGGCCTATAATCCTACTGTCCATTTAAATGCAATCACGATCGCATCGTCACTTCACTACTGACAAGTACATGTGTTGTGTACATGTGTGGAAAATCCCAGATAGATCGTTCTGGGTATGCGCATGGACATGCATGGGCAGTTTTGAAGCAGCCTGTGATGGTACGATCGTAGCTTTTATGAAAGTGATATTTCCCATGCTAAAGATAACGATAAAGCGATCGCTAAAACGACATTTATTTATTTATTTTCTTATGTGAAACATACGTATTTATACTACACTATTAAATTAATACAAGTACAACAATTCTTTCACCAGCAATATATTGATTTAATAGAGAAATTAACAAAATCACGATCTGTAGATGACGATATAAAGTCGAGCGTTCGGAAAAATCGTAGTTTATACTATATAGGCCTACTGTAGGTAGTAAGAAATTGCTGAGACTGCTGACCTCGGAGAATTTAAGGTCGGCTCAGACATTTTTGATAGTGTGAGGTCTAATTGATTCCGAAAAGGCAACAGTATGAAATGGTTTTTCAGTGACAGATTCAGGAAACAAGGTGGTGGGGCTAGGGAAGCTAGGAGCACACAAAAATTATATCCTTCAATTGACTTCAAATTAAATATAGTTTCACATTATTTCAATGGAAAGAACACACTGATGTGAGTAATCTACAGTTTAGATGACAAAAATTGGTTGAATATTTGAGTTAATAAAATGTCATTTTTTCCGATTTACGCACGTTCACTTATCTTGAATTTGTGACCATAAGAATGCACCGCGCTTACAGCCTATAAAATATTGATGTATTACTGTAAATTATTTTTAAATAGACATTTTTACCCGAACTTGACCCAAACTGTTTACTTTTGTTGATCACTAAATAAAAAAAATTCGAGCGATGGCTTGCTTCTAATTTTATTTTCAACTTTTTTTTAATGAAATTGTGAATATTCCACTGGATTAATATCTACCGCGGCGCTTGTAGTTACAAAACTCAATGTTTTTTTTTTTAAATTTGTAATTCCAAATAAAAGTGACATGTCATCCCTAGAGTTGACTATCACATACATGTACTGTAGCGTAGGTGGTCAGCAAAATGAGTTATAAAAAACCCTGTTTTATTTGTATTTGTAATTTGTGTAAAAATGTTATGCTTTGTGTTATAATTACCATATACAGTAACGTGTGCCAATGCATATTTACATACAGTATTAGGCCTACATGTGAAGTATTCATTTTGAGTGATCCAAGGAAAGAATTTGTATTGGCTAACAAGAAGAAGCTTTAAAATACTGTGTACAAAAATGTGGGGGGGGTGGGGGGCTGGATATGTTCCTGCAAAAGTTAAAAACAGTCCATGGTAACAAAGTATCACAGTTGACATATTGATTAAACATATTCACTTCCTGCAGCATAACACAACAATCAACCAAAATGTGTTTTCAAGTTGAAATACTATAAAATTTCAGTCATGTAACTTCATTAGTACTCTGCATAGTAACGTTGAAGTCTGCGAAGGCTCTGGTTCAAAAACTGTAGTTCAAATGAATACAATTTAAAGTACAGTTTCTGTTTATAGGAGTCCTGTGTGTAAAAAGGCTTTAAATAATTAAAATTTTAAAAATTAACATAAATCTTCAAAACTTTACATTTACTGTACTACAGGCAGAAATTCGTGCCAGTGTATTTCTTGCTTTGGAAGAACAAGACAAGGTACGCAATAAGACACCGTTTGTCAACCAAGAATTAAAGAAATTCCTGGTATCAAAAGAAGGTAAGAGAATTATTATTAAACTGTATATAGACTGACTGTGAAAATTTAAATGTCACAGTGACTCACTTTAATTAAAAAGTTTAAATATTCTGTACAAAATACATTAAAATGTACACGATATTAAGTGGGTCTGAGCCATCATACTGTAAAGTTTTTTAATTGTGCAGATGATACCGCAAAAACCAGCTCAAATTTGTGCAGAAAATCACTAGGAAAATAGGTGCACAGAATCATATTTACTGCATAATACATTGTTTATATATTAAGATTAGGTCAACCCCCAAAGCCTAATATTTGGCAAAATCTGCAGGAAAATCCTTTTTTTGTGTGGACGGATTTCTAGGTCAATTTTTTGCGTGGAGTATATGTTCCCCATGCAGGCCTTACTTTACAGGATGGTGTCTGAGAGGTTACATATTTTATTTTTATGCCAATATTTTTTTGGGCCCTTCAGTCTCCGCTAATGATATCTATCTGACTTTAATTTTTTCTAGGCCAAACAGCAGCTGCACTTGTATATGAATTCCTGGACTACTTCAACCTTGACTTCACTGTTGCGGTGTTTAATCCTGAAACCAATTTTGTAAGTATGACGGTGTCGTCGTCACTTTAGAATAGTTTGCAAACTTATCATATTTGTCATTCGCATTTACCATCATACATGTAGTATTTACCATAAATATGTCATCATATTCTCCATCATAATATTGGCTTAAATTGTGGGCTAAGAGTTTTCTTTTTTAGGTTTTCACTTTATTCTTTTAACCCTTTTAGTAATATAGCTAATATAGTATGCACTTAATTTCATTCATCATCAACATTGTCATCATCAACATTGTCCTCATCAACATTGTCATCATCATTTTTAACTCCACCAAGAATGATTTGGACCTTTGCTATTTGTTTGTCTATCTGCCCTTCAACAAGATTATGCAAAACGTAATGAATGGATCATCATAAAAATTTGGTAGAGTGATATATATTTATCTAAGGAAGTGGTAATCAAATTTTGGGCTAAAAACATCAAACGACAAGACCATAACTTTGAAAACATACCCTTTGAGCATATTATTCAGTATTCAGAACGGAGCAGAGTTACAGTACCTGTATGTACTCCATGGAGTGATTAAACTCTAGTTTTATTATGTTATTAGTCCATGCAAGCATGGTTTACACTGTTCTTTTTAATAGTAGATTCCTTTCTGCAACAGTTGACCTTTCCACTAAGCCCCGCCCCTTGAATGTTGTTGCTAAGGTCCCACAAAACGACAGTGTTCTAATTGGTCATTAGTAAGTTTGATTGACACTCTTGAAAGGTCTATTTTTTGCAAGCTCTCTTACCACTCCCTTTGGTCATCGCAATCTATAACCATAATAATCATTGAATCATCAAGAGAGCAGCTTACTGTAGCTCAGTGAAAGAGCAGCTTAGCTCAGTCGGCTAATCTGTTGGTAGCCCATTGTGTGTGCGCTGAACCGTGGAGATCTAGGTCCCTGGTTCAATTCCCATCGCTGCCTCTCCTTGTGTTTCAGCTAGAGGGCTGAAATACAAGTTACAAGTGCACCGTCTTTTGGATGAGATGTTTAAGCCGTTGGTTCCATGTGCATTATGGCCCATGTGCACGTTAAAGAACGCAGTACATTCTTCGGAAAAGAGTAGGGAAATTTCTCCCAGAGTACTGCCCAATCACCACCAGAAGGACCCCACTGTAAATAAGTTTTCTTCTAGACTTTCGTGGGTTATCCTTGGTGTTTACTGTACACCCAATAAATCCAATCCATTTCAATCCTAGTATAATAGTCTTCAACAAAATCTGTGGAATGGATGGTGCAGGCTTTGTTCTAATTTGATGTCTTTCTTTATTCTGTCTTTCAGTCTGATAAGTATGAAGGAAGGGAAAAATTAGCAAAAACACTTGATCTTAGCGACAACGAGAAGAGCAGAGCAAGGCCCCTGATATGTGAGCTGCTGAAAAAGATTTCCAAAGAGCCAGTGTCAAGGAGCAAAGATGTTACAAATGTTGAGGTATTTGGTGATTCAAATGTATTATTGTGAATAGTATACAAATATTGACTGCTCATGAGGGTAATGGTGAAATCTATTTCCCTGAGGCTTTATCAATAAGTACCAGCAAATTGATGGGAGTAAGGCCTCTGATAAGATAGGAGTAGCCTGCAGTGGACCAGTGTCCCTCCCAGGGGAAGAATCACACTCTTATCCGCTTCAAGCTACTTAAAACTGGGGATAAGCTCCAGCACATATGAGCCCTGGGGCATGGGGAGATTTACTGTTTTTTACTTGGGAAGTGCAGTTCTAATATTTTTGACAAATTAATGAAGATAACAATATATTTATTATAATTTTAGATTAATAAACAATTTCGCTTACAATTTGTTCTGCTCAGGCTTACCTGCCATAAGAAATTAATACCACGCAACTTGCATTCTGAATATAAACATAACCAAAATATTCTGACTTTTTATTTACTTTCTTCAGGAAATTATCCTACCAAAGGTAATCATTACATTCCATTTTGTTTTCAGTTTTGATCAATTTACAAGCATATAATTAGCGGACATATCATTCAAACCTGTTGATTTACATTAGACCACCAGCAAATTGTATAGCTTTTTATTTATTTGATTTATATTAGATATTAATTCTATATATTAATCTATTTTTTAGAATGTTTTTCTGTGAATTGGTTTAATAGTTTTCTGCTTGTTTACTAGAATTCATAGCATCAAACTTGTATGTCATTCACAGATTGTGCGTTAGTTGTAGAATTTAAATTTTTGTTACTTTAAAGCATGTTATAAGATTCATTAATAAACACATTATTTTTGTGTTACCTATTTTAAAGTTTGTTTTTTTTTTTTTCCATTTGCACTTTTCTTGTTTTAGAGGTGTTCCATCGCACCACATTCGGTGAGAACATTAGCTTTGAGAATGGCACATCACATGCAACACTGCACTTTATAACAGTGGTGTATCTAGAAATATTGAAGTGGGAGCGAGATTGGGGCACAGAGGTTAAGTGGAGGGGCTTGTTCATTAAAGGAGGGGGTGGAACTAGCTGCCAAAAGATAATGTGATTGACGATGATTTTTTAATACTTGAGCATAATTTTTTTAACTCAGTTAATTTCCTGTGTAGATGCCTGGGTACACAAGCTCTTTTTTTAGAGGGGAGTGCGCCCCCACGCTCTGCCATAGATACGTCACCACTGCTTTATACTGTAAACACTGTTTGTCCTTGCTTTACAGCAGCTTATGAGAATGAATGAATTTAAAACTAATAATAGGGAGTTTTCCCAAGCTTAAGAAAATGATAACATATACGGTTACGTCATCAATTTTTCAGATAATCCTTCACCTAGAGTAGCATATATTTCACAGCGTAAGCAATTCATGTCGTTTGCATGGATCAAGGATCATATTCACCTTGTACAGTATATTGTCACGAATGCTTGAGGCGCGAATGACGATAATGATAATGACGTATTTGTTATCGTTTTCGTAAAGTTGCAAAATCTCCCTAATGAAGCATTAACGTAGCTTAATTTTTCGCTGCTCTGTTGTTTGATGAAAATCCTCTCAAAGTGACGATGTCATGACCAATTTTTTGGTTAAACCAATTTTAATTTTAAATCATTATTGAAGATTATAATTTTTTCAATTTAAATGGCCAATGTGAATTTCAGACATCTTGACAGATTTTATACTTGTGTTGTGCTGACGTATTTGATACAGCTTTTCTTATTGGTTGGTGATTACAGCTTTTTCGATTGGATAAAATTAGAAAATAGGAGTTCAGTTGTTAAATAGCTATTTAGAATTTTATTTTAAAATTATGATGGTAAATGTATTAGAATATATATCAGAATTCATTCAACTTTGAATATTGTGGCCAACACAACAGTGACCAACCATTATTGTTTATTGTTGTATTACAGTGATTAGATGAATAATAAGAATTTTCATTAGTACAGAAATTGAATAAAGAATGAAATATTTCATTTTTTTAATGCACTGATTGTCAATAATATATTTTTTTCACTTTTCATTTGAATCATCTTGTGTTCATAGTGTCACATCATGTTATGACATCTTGCAATCTCATGTACAGTAATCCCATGATCTCATCACATAATCACTGATCCCACCATAGGATCTTTTCTTGTGATCTCGTATAATCCCATTAGGTGATCTCATGTTTTTGATTTGTATTATATTTTGTATATTATATCTTTTGCCTGAATACATAATAATAATAATAATAATAATAATAATAATAATAATAATAATAATAATAATATCCCATGTGATCTATGCTTCATAACTTTGATCTTATTAAATTGATCTTATGTGATCATGTATCTCATGTGATTTCATCATTTGATGTCATCATTTGATTTATATAATCCTATCATGTGATGTTATTATATTTCATGTGTTAATCTTGTCATATGATGATAATAATAATAATAATAATAATAATAATAATAATAATAATAATAATAATAATAATAATAATAATAATAATAATAATATAAAAACACCCACCATTATTTAGTGGTGGTACAGTAATACAAAAAGCAAGTCATTTTTATTTGTGATTTTGCATGTGAAATAAATATTAATAATCAAGTTTTGACCTTGGCCACACTCATCCCTCCATGCAGCATTAAATTTGTTATATTTTGCCACTATGTGTTGCTATTAACACTACATATGATGTGAAGTTATGCATTCTGCCAAATGTTGTGGTTTGGGATGTTTGCTAGAGTCCCAAGAATTTTACTATATTTTTCATGTTGTTTTCATGTTTCGTTGTTGTTCTTTTCAATATTATTATTGTTGCTATTGTCACTATTATTGTTGATATTATTCATTGTAATTATCATCATTATTGTTGCTGTTGTTACTATTATTGTTGATTATTAATTGTAATTATCATCATTATTGTTGCTGTTGTTACTATTATTGTTGATTATTAATTGTAATTATCATTATTATTGTTGCTGCTGTTACTATTATTGTTGATTATTTGTAATTATCATCATTATTGTTGCTGTTGTTACTATTATTGTTGATTATTAATTGTAATCATCATCATTATTGTTGCTGTGGTTACTATTATTGTTGATTATTGTAATTATCATCATTATTGTTGCTATTGTCACTATTATTGTTGATATTATTCATTGTAATTATCATCATTATTGTTGCTGTTGTTACTATTATTGTTGACATTATTTCTAATATTATTGTAGTTAATATTATAATTATAAATATAAATATTTGTTGTTATATTATTATTTTATTATATTATTGTTGAAAAATATGAAAGCTACACAATAGAGTTAATGACATGAGAAAGTCAATAAAAATATTTATTTTATTTAAAGAAAATCTCTTACGAACATTTCATCCTGAAATCAACAAACCTGAAGATGACAGACTAAGCAGAGCAGATCCATATAATTTCCGAATGTGTTACTTTGTTAAGTAATTATATCAAAATATCATTTTTCTTTTAAGGATTTGACATCAAAGCAAGTTTCTGATGCACATAAAAAGTTTGAATATTATGATAAGGTATTTATAATTCATCAATTCCTTATATTTCATCAATTCTTCATATTTCATTTCATTTTTGATTTATTATCATATGAAACATACATCAAAACTATTTTTATTTCTTTCATTTCTATTTTCATTTTATTTCGAGAGACCAGTTTATAGTAGGCAGGTGGATCTTAAATCTAATCACAATCTTTATAATTTTTTTAGTTGTAGTTTATTATAATAATATTTAAATTTAAGTAATTTATGTATTTTGCATTTACCATTGGTAAGCTGATCAGTGCAAATGCGTTGTTACACTCTAGGGCCCTGTATTTTGGTCTAAAACCAAATGAACCGATTTGCAATTTAATTCTAGAAGACTAAAATGAAATTATTTGATCATTGATATCATTATTAAAATTCACTATCTTATTTAAAATATCATAACAGATGTTGATGTGTAAGATTAGGACCATTTATTGCATGTTTGCAAATCTGATTGGAAATAAAATAAATTTCTAGGAACATATGTCTAGCCTTATTTCCATAAAAATTGCAACTCGCTATAGCTGACTCTTTGGCGATGCTGATTGGTCAGTTGAATCAGAGCGAGGATAGCAGTGGAAACGCTGTACTGACAGTGTAGCGCTTGTACAGTATGGAAATCAAGCTTTCGTCTCTTCACACAAATGAAGCAGGTGTGACTGGCAAGAATTTGTCTTTGCATGTTTTGATTATTATGCAATTGTTTGTTGTTATTTTAGTGTATATGTTTATGCATTGGCAGGAAAACGAGATTTATTATCAATGTTGCATGTTGAGGACAGAAAAGTTTTATGATTATGTTATTTAATAAATTTTCTGTGTACTGTAGCTGTCTCTTATACACATCTAGATGTGTATAAGAGACAGTTGGTAAGCTGATCAGTGCAAATGCGTTGTTACACTCTAGGGCCCTGTATTTTGTTCTAAAACCAAATGAACCGATTTGCAATTTAATTCTAGAAGACTAAAATGAAATTATTTGATCATTGATATCATCATTAAAATTCACTATCTTATTTAAAATATCATAACAGATGTTGATGTGTAAGATTAGGACCATTTATTGCATGTTTTCAAATCTGATTGGAAATAAAATAAATTTCTAGGAACATATGTCTAGCCTTGTTTCCATAAAAATTGCAACTCGCTATCGCTGACTCTTTGGCGATGCTGATTGGTCAGTTGAATCAGTGCGAGGATAGCACTGGAAACGCTGTACTGACAGTGTAGCGCTTGTACAGTATGGAAATCAAGCTTTCGTCTCTTCACACAAATGAAGCAGGTGTGACTGGCAAGAATTTGTCTTTGCATGTTTTGATTATTATGCAATTGTTTGTTGTTATTTTAGTGTATATGTTTATGCATTGGCAGGAAAACGAGATTTATTATCAATGTTGCATGTTGAGGACAGAAAAGTTTTATGATTATGTTATTTAATAAATTTTCTGTGTACTGTAGCTGTCTCTTATACACATCTAGATGTGTATAAGAGACAGTTGGTAAGCTGATCAGTGCAAATGCGTTGTTACACTCTAGGGCCCTGTATTTTGTTCTAAAACCAAATGAACCGATTTGCAATTTAATTCTAGAAGACTAAAATGAAATTATTTGATCATTGATATCATCATTAAAATTCACTATCTTATTTAAAATATCATAACAGATGTTGATGTGTAAGATTAGGACCATTTATTGCATGTTTTCAAATCTGATTGGAAATAAAATAAATTTCTAGGAACATATGTCTAGCCTTGTTTCCATAAAAATTGCAACTCGCTATCGCTGACTCTTTGGCGATGCTGATTGGTCAGTTGAATCAGTGCGAGGATAGCACTGGAAACGCTGTACTGACAGTGTAGCGCTTGTACAGTATGGAAATCAAGCTTTCGTCTCTTCACACAAATGAAGCAGGTGTGACTGGCAAGAATTTGTCTTTGCATGTTTTGATTATTATGCAATTGTTTGTTGTTATTTTAGTGTATATGTTTATGCATTGGCAGGAAAACGAGATTTATTATCAATGTTGCATGTTGAGGACAGAAAAGTTTTATGATTATGTTATTTAATAAATTTTCTGTGTACTGTAGCTGTCTCTTATACACATCTAGATGTGTATAAGAGACAGTTGGTAAGCTGATCAGTGCAAATGCGTTGTTACACTCTAGGGCCCTGTATTTTGTTCTAAAACCAAATGAACCGATTTGCAATTTAATTCTAGAAGACTAAAATGAAATTATTTGATCATTGATATCATCATTAAAATTCACTATCTTATTTAAAATATCATAACAGATGTTGATGTGTAAGATTAGG